AATAGTCTAGTATGGAAATTTCGAAGATAGAAATTAACTTATCATATACATTACTTATGTGGCAACCCTGTTGTAATTTTCTTTTACTCTCTCTCTTTATAAAACTGAGGTGAACTACTTAAACCGATAGAAACTTTCTATTATATCAAATACACTGCTTCACCATTGTTAAGTGCTGCCATTCACCTATTCCTAATTATTTCTTGCCTTGGATTTTACTCACTCCTTTTTTCTACTTCTTTATAATTTTATCCTCTTATAGAGCGCCCCATACTTATTTTGGTGCCCATTGGTGTTGAGGTTTGTGTTTAGGTAAAATAAGATGTCTTAATGTAGGCTACGTAGTAATATCAATTTCGGCCCTGGTGGCCCGTACAATAATAATTGATCCAAATGAACTTATTGGTATAAGATTGACTCAATAACAATTACTAGTAACGTTACTGAAACCAGAAAGTAGGCAGTAGATATCTGTAAACACTGGACTGTATCCTCTTGGAGTAAAAAAACCTACTTTTAAACTCAAAAATCTGAGTAACGAAACTGGTCGTTTCATTTCGTAACAACACTGCGGTTTAGTAACAGACACTGAGCATATTCACTGGACAATTCTGATGCATTCCGCATTTCGCGAGACAATGAACCTTTGATGTCATGCATGAATAAGTATTTTTTGAAGTTTGCGAGAAGTCAATTTCTTCAAACTTCTATAAACATAAACACCAAGTGAAATTGAAGGATGAAAGTCATTAGCTTATGAGCGAGTGGCAAGAACATATAATGGTTCTCTGATGGAACATAATGAATCATAATTTTGCTCAAGATTGTGCCGAAGGATAATTTTGAACTTCATTTTAAAAATAATACGTATGCAGGTTAAAGTCAAGATACGTTACCGAAAGTCTATTCAGGCCTTATTAAGAATAAAACAATTTAATGCTGTTGAAAAATACCTTTGACAGTGTTTATCCATTGGGATACAGTCAAACTGAGTGTGAGGTTAGTTTCCAAAAACCCAGCCCAGTAAGCTTGTAGATTGTCAGGAAAGTCAGACGACGTTGCCACTGTAAGTGATGACCAGCTTCAAGGTTAGCGGGATAAAGACACAGAATTACCCAGTGGTGTTTATTTTTTCTTCAAAAGCAGCTATCGCTACCATACTAGAGTTTTGAAAAGTTTCATTATCTACTGTAAATTGGGTGATTATCACTATATGCTTGACTACCTACATGTCCTATAATGGAAATAAAGATGTGATTTGTTTTCTTTTGCTGAAATAAGGGCTATAGATGGGCTCTCCCCATATATATCAACGAGCATAAACGAAAAAGTGATAACCACTCCAAAGTACATCTTGACGCCGTATTGTCTGTTTGAGTTGTAGGTCATATCGTTGAAAAAGAAAAACATATTAGTCCTCTAAATAAGCATGAAAATTTTGCATTTCCGAAAGATGCCTCTCATTTAGTTGCTGTTCTTCTTGTGTTCTTTTGCAATTTTTAGAGACCTACTGTTGGACAGTTTGGGAACTGAACTATTTCCAACCGATTTTTTTCCTTGGCCTCAAAGTAATGAATTCCTCAAAAGCAATTAATTCACCTTAAACGTCCTGGTATTTTATAAAATTTGGGATAGTTTTCAATTTGATTATTATACTTAACTGGTTCGAATATATTAGGCATTGTAGTACTACTCTTTTTTCATTTGGAGCTCTAACTGGTTCTGCAACATCAATCCCAATACAGTTGTTGAAGCAAATTTTCGCGAAGTCCTTTGACAGGAGATAAAACCAACACAGCCAAAACACATTTGCTGACTATCAGCTCCCTATTTGAATAGTAATTACAGGTATATTTATAATATTTTGTATTTTTAATAGTCGTACCTAATATTTATGGTCCTATATGACCAAAACTGTGTTTTAAATGCAGGATGCAGGATGAGTCCGTTATTGTGAAGACCTCAGAAGCAATAAGTAAATAAGGAGTATGGCATTCGAATTATCTCGTAACATAAACTGTAGTATTATCTATGTACTGAAGTGTTTGTTCCTGAATTTGGTCGAAATTCTTAACTCCTTCATTTGCCCTGATCAAGTTGCACGGGTTTCCGTCTCTTTTTCAGGGCCTGATATTCCATCAAACATAAAAGGCGATTTGTCAAGACTAAGTGAAGGAACACTGAACTAAATGGTTGTAGCTGTAAATAATTTCCTAAAATCAAGAGCTTTCTAAGTGTTCGACATTGGATTCTGACTACGTTGTTTAAGTGGACTTGTTTAACTGAAGGCTGCATCCGTACCAGATCACGTTTCGAACCAGCATGAGACACTGCTCCTACGTTCCAATAGCCAGCTTAGAGTAAACACTTCGCGATATATTGATAACGTATCAAATATATCTTTCCTACCTCTTCGCATCTGACTTCTGATTTCATTCGGCTGGGGAAAGCTTCGTATATAGAAGGTGCCACTAGTAGCAGGTTGTAAAATCAGAATACTAGTCCTATCTTCATGGTCTTTGTCTGTAATGATACGGCAACGTTACTCGTCTTCAGTGAGTCAACCAAACTAAGGCTCTTATGACGGGTTGGACTACCCTAATTTAGTCTCCGTCATTTAAGTCAATAGCATTCAATATTATCAGTAGTGATCATGTTTTCTACAGGGATCCGCTTTCATGTACTATACCAGTAGTTGGTTATCCAGTGAAGAAATACTTAACAAATAAACTAACGTGGAACAAAATGAAATATGCCACTGGGCTTTTCTTTGCATTGACAGAAATCAGATTTTAACTTCTAAGCAGCTTTATGAAGCTGAGGTATCGGATCGTACTCAGTATTTCGGATTTAGCTGTGCTGGTCATTTACAGTCTTTATTATTAGGGTATTCAGATTCTGGCCATAGAAATCTGAACCATCTATTCCTTGAAATGCAGTTCGGCATTCGTACATAGCAATACTCACTAGTACTTGGAACAGAAGAGATCTAGATTCCCCTTAACCTCACTAAATCACAGTTCTGGTTAGCAGGTTTGATGATGTCTTATGCCCAGCGCTCACAAAAGTGGCTCAGAGCCAAATCCTTAAACGCTTATTTGGTGCATGTTGCCCCATTTCATTTAATAGCAGTATGAGGACAACATGAGAATAGGAGTTAATCAATACGTACTACATATTTGATCAAATATAATACTAACAGAATATATCACCAGATACCTGATTTACTGTTCACTGTAAGCAGAAATAAATATATATGGCTAGTCGTTGAAATTACTGTGCCTCGTTCACCTTGCGCAACTGTCTGGGTTCGGAGCGAATTAAGTACCACTGTGTTCAACGTTCTCGGTGTCTCGTTCCTCTGGGACTCGCTAAGCTCCAAGGTTGATCAGCGTATATCCTGACCGACCAAAGGCTTCGTTAGTACATATTTGAAACCTTATGAACGAAAGAAATAACATTCTGCACTTCTAAAACCCGTATTCTGATAAAAAGGGCATTTGAGTTAAGAAAAACTTTTAAGAACTTATTTTTGGAAATTCGACATAAAAATTGAGAATTTCGTGATACGATCAACGATTCATGAGGACAGAAAATTGTAAGTTATGAACTGAACACGACGGAAATTTGAAGTCTTCATAGTCTTTATCAAGGTCACTTTGTTCTTTATATACTATATTGTACTGACGGCTAAATTTCTTCGATTTCAAAAACTATCCTACTCAATTATATCATATGATAGCTGAATAGTTTATCGCTAAGATACCCTCATATTCACATCACCGATTTTATTATTAACACAGCTTATTTATTTATGTGGCCATAGTTCTGAATTGAACACTTACCACTTGTGTTAGCTAGCGTATCTCGGAAGTGAATGAACACTCACAATTGTTACATGTTATACTCTTCATCATTATCAACCGAACATCATTCCATATTCATAACTGACATATGATTTTCATTAAGGTCAAGAGATCAAAATGTAAGAGCTGCCTCAGTAGATAAAATGGTCCTACCTAAAATCTTTCGATCACCGAACCGAAATGGATGTGTTTAGCTCACTCTCGATGTTATATATTGCTTCGAGGTTTGCATTCGTCGATGCCTGAACTAGCGATAAGGAGTGAAGCAGTGGGGCATGCTGACACATTCACTTACCATGGAAGTTTCACAAGCCCTATCGGAGTGGTGTCTATAGAAATATAGGGGCGGATTAAGTGATCAGAACGAGGTTTTAACAACTGACCTTGTGTTATCAGCAATATACCCATTAAAAGAAAAAATAGGCATACCAAACGAAAATTCGCCCTGTCCATCTTTACGGTTGTGACTTCGAAAAACAGAACATGGACGTAGGTTACTGGTATTAGGTCGTGGACGCTACGGAAGCCTTGGTCGCGTTTGTTGTGCTGTCCAAATTATCAACCCTGAAGGCAGATACAGGGTTTAAGGCAGACATAGAGAATCGGATAATGGGGTTTGAACCTTTACAAACTGAGGTAGCTGGGTCATGTTTTACATATGCGTAACCGTTGCCTGCTTCAAAATATGATGTATACTGGTACACACGTCGGAACAAAGACAGGGGTAGCTAAACGAAAAGGTAACATCAGTCCATTTATTCACTTACACTCGAGGCGAGTTATTTCGTTAGATACAGACCGTCTTGTTACGGTTCGAGCAATTACTTGTTTTGAGATGTTCACTGCTAACGCTTAGGATAGGTCGAAATTTGTCTTTCATAATGTCTTGGGTTTCGAAATTACACTATATATTTTTTATTGAGAAACGCATTCTACCTTTGTCATGTTTTTTACGATGAATCCTATCTGAAAGTGTTGATCCTTCTACTCTCCTGAGACTTGTATCGATAATTGCGTCTAACGGAGCAATGTTGTTTGACGACCTGGATTAGTTTACACGTACATAGTCCCACGTTACGGATGACTTTCTGACTCTGAGAAGAACCTGAACACACCGGCTTACTGTATATAAATAAAAATTGCACGACTGCTTCCATAATCATAATAAGCCAAAAGCTTTAATAAAAGCCTGTAAATTGTTAAGTTCTACCAGCTCGATATAAGGTGAATAAGTGGTGCATAAGTTTTTTTGGGGGAAAAAACAGGATCATAAAAAGTTCCTAGGGAAAATCATCAATATATATCTTCAATTGATAAATTCATTCACCACAATTTGTTTGAGCACTTGATTCTGGATTCATATACAGCTATAATATTTGAAAGTATATAACTAATTTCCGTGCTACTCCAGTAATTTGCTGATGCTTTTGTGAGTACTTTAAATACATCTTATGAATTTTAAAGCACTTGAAGAATCACAAGAATCGGGAAGTTTATAATTATTTTCCACCCTTTGCAAAAGGATCTATTTAGTCTGACTTATGTTGAGTCTAAATTTATATTACAGAGCTTAAGGTGCTTGGATCTGGTAAGTGGACTGAAAGTTATTATGATCTCGTAAAATTGTTTGACACTATAGCTATTTTGTAACCTTAAATACACGTTTGCTTCATATGTAGTACCCACCTTTATGTGGGTACACTGAACTTCAGCTAGATAACCTTGCAACAATGTTAAATTTAGATGTTTTGTAAAAAACTTGTCTGTCATATTTTCCGTAATCCGTTAAGTGAGTTCTCACTTCTGAGCGTTATAACAGTCCCTAATTTATTGTAAACATAGACTCATATGTATGCTTAAAGTTATGAACTTCTTGACTGTTTGTAATGGTTTGACGTAAAGAGTTAGAGTCGTATGATAAATTGAAGTATTTTATTTATTGCATTAATCAGAAGTTCCTGAAACAATGTAATTTAGGGGAAAATAACGTATTGTATTTAGAATTTGAAATCAGACAGGAATCAAGTACAAAACAATCATTTGTTCATATAAACATCACAAAAGGCCAGAGACTTTGGTCGATCCTATAGAAACATTCCTAATTTCACTCGCAAAAAGATTTTAACACGTCGATGAGTTATTTTATTGAACCAATTTGGCGTGCCAAACTAAATATCAGTATATTAGGTAACAAACTCGTTTGTAACTAAGAGTCAGGTGATTTTCTGTAGGCGGAATATGTTCGATTTCAGTGTGCATCCTACTCAGGGTATCTACCAGTATATGGCTAACGATAGAATCGAATGCTATATGGGTGATACTGTTCAACCCTCTTTTTGGTTTCTAAAACTGAAAGGGAAAGATAATTTGAAATCATATTCTTATTCAACAAAACAGAGTTATCATTGATGTCAATAATCACCAGTGTATCGTAATATTCTAATTGCTGAAGCGCTTAACAAAGTCAGATAATGTAATCAGATCAGCTCAAATGTGAAAGAAGCTTGATTTATGTTTTTTAAGTGTCATTGGGACTCATTTTGTATAGTCTGTGCATTTCGACTACACTCAATATCTTGGATATAACTGGTGGGAGACTTGTGATCAGGTGATTGATGTTTTTATTACGATGTTTGGAATTCTTCCGAATTCTTCACTGAACAGACGGAGGGTATTTTAGAAATATAGTCTTTTATGTCAGCAGAGTGAAACTACTATTTTTAGTAAAGATGCATGAAGTTTCGTTTTGTTAGTAGCGATTTAAAAATCTTATCATAAGTGTAGACATTTAAAAAAAGTGAAATCGATCTATGATTAGAAACGCTGGCTTTAAATTTCATTTAAACCAAACACAATGTGAAAACAATTGTACATCAGCCTTAAAAAGCGATCTATCAATGAAAATGTGTTGATAAAACACTATTCTATTAAGCATAGTCTCATCACCTGGATTCCCTCAAACAAGAATATACTACTCACCTATCAACTGATAAGATTTTAAAATGTTTTTAAACTCCACATCGTGAAGAACGCCAACCCAATCTCCCTTGATGGAGAAACTCTGGAAGATGTGGAATCATTCACGTACCTGGGAAGCATCATCGATGAACAAGGAGGATCTATTGTAGATGCAGAGGCGAGGATTAGCAGAGCGAGGGCCGCATTCCTACAATTGAAGAACATATGGAACTCAAAACAACTGTCAGCTAATATCAGAATCTTCAATACGAACGTCGAAACAGTTTTACTGTACGGAGCTGAAACTTGGAGAACTACCACAAGCAACATCAAAAAGTACAATTATTTATAAACAATTGTCTACGCAAGATACTTAATGTCCATTGGCTATGTACCATAATCAACAGCCTACTGTGGGAGAGAACAAACCAGCTTCCAGCCGAAGAGGAAATTAGGGAAAGACGCTGGGAGTGGATAGGACATACATTACTGAAATCGCCAAACTGCATCACGAGGCAAGCGCTAACTTGGAATCCTAAAGGGAAACGGAGAAGAGGAAAGCCGACGAACACACTGTGTTGAGAATTGGAAGCAGATATGGGAAGGAGGAATAACAACTGGAAATTATTGGCTGGATGGAGAGTGCTAGTAGTCAGCCGATGCTCCTCCATGAGGGGTAACATGTGTATGTAAGTAAATAAGTAAGCAAGTAAGTAAAACTAGGACATATGCCAAAAATATGAACGGTGTTTGGTGTTGTTATCTAAATTTCTTGAGATAGTTTTCCTGCAGTTATCGGCACAAATAAAACTCAGATAAGTCACTGTGAGCTATAGAACAGTTTAATATTAGTCTCATTTAATTATACAGCTATGGAGTTAAATTTGAATCAAGTTGAAATCTTTTCAATTTCAAGATGAGTAGAAAATGCCGGACAAAATGTGTGTAGTGTTTGTTAGTCTCAAGTTCTGCTAACCCAATGTGAATACATTTGACCTTCTGTCTATGGGCTTCACGCAGTCTGTTAATAAACTGTAAAACATACATTTGCAACAGACTGAAATGCTATAAATATCTACTTTGTTTGATTAAAATATTTCTGAGGGTTGTTAGTAATTATTAATAGGTCTTGGTTTCCGTGCTGAATTTTACAGAAAGACATTGATCATTTACTTTAGGTTTCCCAAAAAGCTCTAGTTATAGCATATGTATTTAAAAGTAATTTCACTTCTATATATTGTATCTTGGGTTGGTAAACAAAAGGTTTTAGTCTTTGCTAAACGTCATTACGACTAAAGGATAATGAAAAAAATCAGAAAGTCTTAGTGACTTTCAATAAGATATCTCAAATAACATACTTCCTCAAGTTTGCATAAGGGTTGGAATGATGTTAGGGATTTTTTATGCATCAGATGTGCTTTTTCATTACGCGTTCTTCTGAACGAATAGTTAAATTTTAAAATGTTGGCAAGCTTTTATGGTCTAAGAGAAGCGAAATAATGCACACCAAACACTTTGAGGTGTTTTTAAATTCATGGACCATAAGTGAACCTCATTTCCTGACCATATCGTGTCTTCTAGAATGGTTTAGTTACATATTTATCTGATCCAGCAAAAATGTAGCAACCAGTATAGTTTCTGCAGCGTAGAGGATTGTCTAAGGAACAGTACTAATATTCAACAAACGATGATGCTTAGACTTAAACTGTGAAACATTTACAGGAAATCCCGGCAAACAATGTGAGGTATATTTGGTTTATCGGAGAGTGATTATTTAGGATAAACAAACATAGATGAATGCAATGGACTGTCCAAACTGCTTTTGTTAGGTTATGGCTAGTTAAATCATATCAAGCATTTTATCAATCAGATATGTACTTTACAATTAAGACTGGCTTTATTACAAATTTTTGTATCTAAGAGGTGGGAAACAGTGGTGGAAGATTCATTCCTCTGGCTGAAGCCGTATCCAAGGGAATTCGTGAACAAATGGACAAAGGAGATGCTGTAAGAAAAGTAAGTAAATGCATCACGTTATTATTACTTAAAATGTCACAGAAAGTAAGAGGGAATGAGTTTTGGTCATACAGACAATAAATTGTATTACACGCAACCCAACTAAAATATATCTGATGGATTAGTAAAGAAGTGTGCTTGTTTCAGTGTTGAGTCAATTACATTCGAATGAGATGTTTCCTACTGCCTAAATGCAAACACTTCTGCACAAGACATTCCTCTCGATAGTTGTGCTATAACTTTCATCCATTTTCTTTCAGATAGGAATCCTGGCAACAGTTTAATAGTAACGACGTAAAATATTAAAGTTTGAAACACACGAATAGCTTTAGAGTTTTAGCTGGAATTGGTGTTTTTTATTTAATATTATGAAATGGCGCACAAATCGACTGGGACTTCTGGAAGTTTTAAACATAGAGTACTGTGGTTGTACAGAGACCTTAGTTTTCATGATCTCACAGTGATTTGCATTTGTTAAGGGCTTACGGTCGCAAATCTGCTACGTAATGATCTGATAGATCAACTATAAGATTGTTCAAATATTATTAACAACTTTAATGAGGAGATATTGGGTAGTTATTGCAAGTCAATCAAAAGTATATATTATTATATATTACACTTTACTTTTAATAGTATCCAAACCCTAACAACGTCATTATTTTTCTTACATTCACGAATGCGTAAAAAAAAGAAAGTTATTTGTTCACTAGACAATTGAGAATGAACTACTTCAAAATGTCTAGCATCTTACCTGTAAATAGTTCAGGAACTTAGAGTGATCGGAAACAGTACAATTTATATGTGTACAGAAAAAGCCCGGTTTGTTTCTTGAAATTGGAATGGTAGAACAATAATTATCCGAATAATAAAGTTTGGAAATCTGGTAGGATGAACAATTGCCAGTCTAATTGTGTTGTATCGTCATTTTCATGTTTCAGAAAAACCTTTCCCCATTCAACAGAGATAAGTTTCGATAACATGCAAACTTCTTAACGATGCAAATTGTTATACAAAATACTTGAAACGATTTACGATTAAGTAGCTAAAAATGATCAAGTGTCTTAAAATAATGACAGTACATACCTTAGCTTAGTATGACATTTTTGTGGTCAAATTTGTTTACTATTCATTTTATAAGTATTTATTTTTTGATTTTCACTTAAGTATTTAAAAGAATCATTCTCTAAATGATCATGAATTCATTCAGTCCCATGTGAATCAGTGCTATCAGGTCTAGTTTTAGCTTTGCTTAACTTCATGTGTAAAGATTGATTATTTCTCTCACTGTTGTTGATTTTCACTACACATGATTTTCGATACAATAATGTATCAAGCAAACATAAAATATGTACATGCTCGAAGTTTATGATTTATCGGGTACAAAATACAGTTTGCATTAAGTAAGCGTTGGTTAGAACAAATGTTTAAGTGAATAAACATGTATTGTTAAACATATATTTGTAAAGGATTTCTGTATAAATTACAAACAGCTGTAATAGTAGTAAAACATTTTCTCGACTATGATAACAATAATAATGATAAGAACAAGGAAGGTAAGTTTATTTTCAGTAGATGCTGTTAGCTTCCATATATGGATTAACATTACCTAACATATGTCAGTTTTTGTTTCATTTCATTAGATAAAAAGTAGTGTCCTTACATTGGTGGCTAAGTATTTCACTTTCTGCTTGATAAAAATTTCAGGAGTCTTTTACTGAGAAGTAAATGTAACATATTCAGCGTTCTTTTACTGTGAAATAACGCAATTTTTTTAAAGTTGAATTCATGAGTCAGGTGGATCTAGACCATCAAGAAAAACCTGGAAGCACTGGAGAGCCGTTTTTTGTCCTAATACGGAACTCCTCGGCAGTGCACATCCACGATCCTGCCCCGCAAGATTCGAACCCACGATCTATCGGTCTCGCTTGCGAACACTTAACCTCTAGACCATCAATGGTCTTAATGTCTAACTTCAACCAATCCACGAAATGGCGCCACTGTCCGTCATTGTCTTCAACGAGTTACTATCTCACAACATACCTCGTTGAACTCCACTTGTCACTGCTTCTCACTAGGATTCTCACTAAGACTTCAGGAAATACCTTTTGAGGTCAGTCACTAGTGAGCATACGATGATTATTATCAGAAGGTGTTTTGTGGAGATTTTAGTAATTTTATAGTTGAATTCATGAGTCAGTTAGTGAAAATGCTTAATATTAATTATTTCTTGATGTATGCAATCCATCAGGAATGTAATAAGTTGGATGTATAAACTGAACTAACCTTTCGAAGTTTAATCTCTTACAACCAAACGACTCCATAATAGTTCAATGTTCTATGATTCTTTCCAACTGAAACAGTACTTTGTGTAGATCGAACAATTAAGTAGTGAATGAGCTTAAATGGTCTTTTATTTGTCTATGGTTTAAAATGACCCATTCTGGGTAGGTTTAGAACGGTAATACTCTTAGACGTACTGCACGTTCTCACTTTTCCTCAGAACAAGTTGCTCGTATTTATGAGCACAACTTTATTTGACCAAATATTATTATGAAATACCCTGTTTCAACTTCAAGAATTTGTTTATGTTTTTAACTGATGACAAGTAAGAATAAAATATTCATCACGTTTCCCTTGATTGAAAAACCAACCAGGTACTATAATCTTTAAATATTATCAGATGTCACATGATTCATACTTTCTAGCCTTAGTCGATTGGGGATATACTCATCCACTGTCATAAGTGGGTTGCTTCTAACCTACTCATTAACAGTGACAATTCTATAATTTGTCAAACAACTCAAAGCGAAAACGTTTATTGATATACGTGTATTTTTAAATGTAATGTCGTTCTATGAAAAAATTTTCTTGAAGTTTATTCTTTATCAGAAATGAGGTAGAATTCCTCTTGTCCATATATGTGTTTTACTAGTATGTGATTAACATGTTGCCAAAACTTAAAAGAACTATTTACTAAGATTTCATGTTAGTCAAGTGATTCAGTTAATTAGATGAAAACTGTAAACATGATTTTTAAATTAACACAAGAATACAATTTCTCTTTATATAATAATTCTATAAGAATCCATTAATAACTATTCTTATGAATTCACAACTTACATTATCTCAGTAGTTCTATGTATTATTACAACTTGTTATCTTCAACTACTGATTTTTAAATGTCTGAATTATTACTTTAACTTTATCAAAGTCCAATTCATAAATTCGAATCTATATATCAAGTTGTGATTTACTTTGAATAATTCATTTTACAATCATTTCCTAATCTTTCGTGAGAATAACATTGTAAATATTTAACAGATTACAACATAATGTTCGAAACACTAGAATTCAATAATTTTTCCTGTAAATTTGCAAAACGATCCTGAGACATAATTTAACTGTCAAGAATATCATCTACAGTTCGAATTATTTAGTCTTCTCTTATGAATTCATTTAAAAAGATTAACAGCCTAATCTGTTGGGAAACTTCTACTGCAGCAGTTTCATAAACATCTAGTATATGTCTTCTACTTTTAGCTATCTATAAAATGTCTAGTTACTGTGTTTTGCTAAATTTGCAAGTTTGCACTTTTTGCTAATAAGTATTCAAAAGTTTTGGTTTGGATGACTTTTGTGAAAACATTTTCTTAATTTCTAAAGTATTCATTGACAATAACTATTTGTTCAATGTACGACCACTTAGTACCTATTGCAGAAGAGCTGATACCACAATGACAGACAACAATAATTAGTAATTGCTTTCAGAGAAGTAGTTATACAATAATTTATAAATGACGAACAAATGAACTTTTCAATTTATATGATTTTGTCATAGATACGCTTTTGAAGGATGTACTTTTAGTTTTTTTAGTTATGCTAATAAAAAATCTTAACTGAAAAACTCTAAAGTACTCAATGTCTATTTAACGTTTCAAATATCAGCACTCGGTAATTGAACACTTAATTAGATATATATTATTATTTATCCCTTAGATGTTATTTTAGCTATTATTAGTTCGATAAGTTTAATGTCGTTTGTAAGGTCATATGGAGAAAATATCCGACACAAAATTGTTGAAGTCTTACTATTTTATTCTAGCACATTGTAATGGTAAATCAAGGTAAATTTTTCAAGTCTGTAAAATTTTAAAATAATTTATCAGAAAAAGGACGATCATGAGTGAAGGCTATGATGACGTTATATTAAAGCTGAAATTAATATCATAGTTAAGAAAACAAGTTCTCGAAGTTAGCGTTTTGTGGCAAGGTTTTTTCTGAGGGATTGAGTTGCTAGCCCTCTACCAGTGTCCCAGCTTGTGGCGAGCAGTAGCCTTAGAAGGGCTCTAAGAAGATGTATTATCAAAAAGTTTCAGACACCAAAATGAAATTACAGTTCTAACTGTCCAGTGACAATGAAAACTATCACCAACTAAATAACGTTTTTTAATAGATAAAAACCATATTTATAGTAGTTATAAAATAAGGAAATCAAATTAAGACAAGGTTTAGACAGTAGTACATTTAATTTGATCTACACATGCATACAGATATGAAATATGGTAATTAAGTACCAGTTAATTATTGATTAAAGTGACTAAAAAGTCAAACAAGACGTATTTACTTATATATTCTGGGAGAGATGACAGAATTCAGATCAATATTTTGACATAATCAGGTTAATGTAAATGTAAAAACAAAATTGGAATGAAGCCGTTTGATAGTTAGTTGATGTTATTGTATTTCTGAATCAAATAAAAACGTAATTTGTTGAAAATGAATTAAAATCATTTGAATAATGTTGAATGTACTATAGTTCATGTTATAACGGTCCGATTTCCTTTTTACACGCAAAAGGGACGTTAATTTACCTTAGACGAATATCTACACTACAGTATAGTTCCACACGAAAACCCGACACAATCCAACAAAAATGAGCAGTCAATCAATAATAATAAATAATAAGGGTAGGAGAATATATAACTCATCTGACACCTGTC